AGCCTGCTTCTCCCTCTCCCACTCCCCCTGCTTGTGTTCCCTCTCTCGCTGTGTCTCTCTCTGTCAAATAAATAAATAAATCTTAAAAAAAAAAAAAGAGGAAGAGAAAAACATTAAAGAAAGTTTAAAAACCCCAGATAATGAGAACCCAGCGGATATCTTGACATGCAAAGAGCCCCATTTAGCTGTTTTAACAGAGGACAATGTACAAACCAACTTGGGTTTTGGAATTGCTCTCTGCTAGTTTTGTGTTGTCTGCAGAGAAGAATAGATTTGAGAGAGTCAGCACAAACGAGATTCTGGAATAAAAACTTCTCTGAGATTGCAGATATGCATGCACATTGATGGAAGGCTCTTCTGGCTCTCAACTTTCTGACAGCTGGACTGACCGACAGGGAGGTTTGCTGGGCTGCCCTGCCTTATTTCCAGAGATTCAGCTGAAGATACAAACATTATGGGGCTAAGAATAAACGTATCAGTGCATCGTTGTCTATCTTAAATTATGCTAAATATTTCCTGGGTTGACAAATACACATCCTTTAAACTTTCAGGAAGCTAGTGTCAGCTTTGAAACAACTGGATCGATTGAGATAGTGGTGGACTTTTTCCCCTGGCCTGATTTGTTAGTGCAAAGCAAACAGGTAAACTTCTGGTGTCCATCTCTAATATAAACATACCACCAGCCACTTTTCAGTTGGGCGTCTTTTTGGTGAAGACGGTGACTTTTCACTGTGGAATTCATTGCTTCCACTCTTACCTCTTTTGTTCATTGGGGAAAATCTTCTAATACCTTCCATGATACCAAAGAATCAGAACCACTTCCCAGAGACATCCACAAAGATTACATTCTAGCTGGGGGAAGCGAGCAGTTGGGTAAGTTTTCAGTGTCTGTGTTTGTTCTGCCTCAGTCACTCTCTTCCTATGCCCCATAAAGTGGCTACTTCCTCCCTCTGTCACCAACCTCAGACTATTTTATATCTGTATCAGTAATCTATTGCTGCATAACGGACACCCCAAAATTTAGTGACTCCAAACGACCATGTTATTTTGGTCCTGGTTGTTTGGGTTAGGAATTTGGGCAGGGCTTGGTGGAGACAGCTCATCTCTGTTCCACATGGTAATGGCTGGGATGACTGATTGGGGCCAGAGGATCCAAGATGGCTTCACTCACACATCTGGAACCTCAGTTGGCTATGCTGGCTGGGGTTTGGCCGAGTCTCTCTCTCTCTCTCTCTCTCCCTTCCCCCCCTTCATAATTTCTTATCCTCCTCACATGGTCTCTTCAGTCAGATAATTGGACTTCCCTTAGATGGCAGCTGGCTCCCAAGACAGCGAAAGTCAAAGGTGCCAGACTCTTTAAGGGCCCAGACTGGGGACTGGCATAGTGTTACTCCCTTTATGTTCTGTTAGTCAAAGTGAGTCACAAGGCTGGCACAGATTGAAAGGGAGGGAAATCGACTCTACCTCTTGGTAGGAGGTGCTGCATGTATATAAGGGGATTGTGGGAAATGCACCACAGTATTTTTTGTTGAAAATCAGTGCTTGGGAGTCATTAATGAAATACACCTTGGAAGATGCCATACAAGAGGGTATATATATAGGAGTAGTTTGAAAAAACTGGTGTGATTGCTTATATACCAGTTCAGGTCCTATTAACACGGCCAAAATCATAATGCTTCAAATGAGACAGAAGTTCTCTTCTTACATACAGGTTTGTGCTTAAGCAACCCTGGGCAGTGTCCTATGCCCCAGCTCCTTCTCACTTGCTGTTCCTCAGTCTAAGATGGCTGCTCTCGCTCCCGGACACATCCACATTCAAACCAGGGTAGAGGAGGGAGGAAAAAGAAAAGGGTATGCTCCTCCCACCCTTTTTAACAGCACAGCCCAGAAAGTTGCCCACGTGACTTTTCCTCACAGCCCATTGGTCGAACCCATCACATGGCCACGCCTAACTTCAAGGGCAGCTGGGAAATGTAGTCTTTGTTCCGGAAGGCCAAAGGCCCAGGCTGACTTCTCTTGCTATAAAAGAAGGGGGATCAGAGAGTGGGGGAACAACCACCAGTCCCTGCCACATTGACTGTACAGAGTGAGAGCAAGGTGGTGTGAAAGGTCAGGGATAGAAGAAGTGAGAGAAGCAGCAGGTAGAAAGCCAGTTTGCATGGGGTATGTAGGAAGTCCGGAAATGGGCACTGAATGGAGTCTGCGTGTTGTGAGGAGCGGGGGCAGCCCTTGACTGGGGGTAAGAATATCATCTTGCTTTAGAATGAAGCAGAGAGAGGACACCCCCCCCACCCCCCCGCCCAGGTCGGGCAGTCCCAGATACAACTAACTGGCACGTTCTAAAGCACCTATGAATCACACGTCTAGCAGTCATCTTCAAACACAGATCTCCAGTGGAAAACACTATTTGAGGAAACATTTTACCATGCAGTTAATTTATAGCCTTAGTTTAAAAGGCTTTTTTTTTTTTTCCTTGTTACCTGTTGGCCAGGATACTATCCTTTTGAACTTCTTTCTTATTTCTACTGTGAACCTGGTGAGACTTTTGAGGATTCCCAAGCTTGTCAGATAAACAGTAGTTGATACAGTGAAATATATTTGTTTCTGTTATATATATATATTTTAAAGATTTTATTTATTTGAGAGAGAGCACGAGTGGGGGGGCGGAGGGGCAGAGGAAGAGGGAGAAGCCGACTCCCCGCTGAGCAGGGAGCCAGCGTACAAGGGGCTGGATCCCAGGACCCCAGGATCATGACCTGAGCTGAAAGCAGACGCTTCACCAACTGAGCCACCCAGGTGTCCCTTGTTTCCGATATTTCATATGCAGAGAGACGACTAGAGCACAGAGGAAGGACACAGTTGGTCAGGTGTCTCCCGCGAATGGGCAGAGGCCAGGGTTTCCACACAATAACTGGCTCTGTGGGCATCCTGACTCAACGGGGAACTTTGTTCAATTCATTCATGGAAATTTACGATCACTTACAAAAAGCAATGATGGCCATGGCCGTGTAATAATAGGCCTAGGTTTCTGGAACATCTCTGAAGGGAAAGCCAGCTGGTCTTGTCAGCTGAAAGTGAGGGCAGAATGCTTGAGGGTGCAACAGAATCTGCTCTTTAAGGATTCAGAGCAGAGCTGTAGCAGGCGACCCCAAAAGAGTGTACGTGTTGGAGGAAACTATTAGGTCAGCAGCAGGCAGACACACAGAAATGTTGGGCTTAGTAAGATAATTAAAAAATATGTGATCATATCTTAAAATCCCAGACCGCAGAGAGATTCCACAAGAGAGGAAATACTTCCCAGTGTACAAATGAGGATGGTAATAACAACACTTAGTCTGGTGGGCAGCAGGGAGAAGTCAATGAAATAATGCAGGCATAGTACTCAGCCTGGGGTGGGCTAGCAGGTTGGTTCAGCAAATGTTAGCTATTATTTTTAAAAATATTCTTTTTATATTTTTGTATTTATTTGAAAGGGAGAGAGTGAGAGAGAGCACAAGACAGGGGAAGGTCAGAGGGAGAAGCAGACTCTCTGCTGAGCAGGGAGCCCGATGCAGGACTCGATCCCAGGACTCCAGGATCATGACCTGAGCCGAAGGCAGTCGCTTAACCAACTGAGCCACCCAGGCGCCCCTAGCTATTATTTTTAATGATTGATTTTTTTCCTTGTTTCTAGTTTGGAAGAGCACTGATTCTGAAAAACTAGGCCAGTTTCGGCTGATCATTGTTAGCTGGACATAAGCTGGCTTTGGGAAGCTCTGAGAGCCTTCACCCATATAACCTAATTTGGAGCATGTTTGCTCACAATGTCAGTATGCATGGTTGGATACAGAAAACCCAGCACATCTTTCATATGTTTAGTTTACATGACGCAGAGACTAGAAGTATCTCTTCACTCGGACAATGTCGTCCCAAGAAAATATGGGAACACAGTGTAATTTTTGCATCGAAATCTGTCTCTTGTCCTCATCCCTCCCCTTTTGCTTTAAATTAAAAAAATAAATAAATATGCTTTCCATGATGAGCGAGCCAGCTAGAATTGACCAGCAGGGGGCAGGTATTGTATACTCGTCATTGTGATGAACCCAAAGCTGTGAAACATTCCTGTCAATTATACATGCATGTCTTCTGTCACCTCTTGAAACAAAAATAAAAGGATTATTTTTTTTTAAAAACTTAGCAAATGAAAATAGACACCTCAAATGCATTTATTTATTTATTTTTTTAAAGATCCTATTTATTTATTTGAGAGAGAGAGAATGAGAGACAGAGAGCACGAGAGGGAAGAGGGTCAGAGGGAGAAGCAGACCCCCTGCTGAGCAGGGAGCCCGATGCGGGACTCGATCCTGGGACTCCAGGATCATGACCTGAGCCGAAGGCAGTCGCTCAACCAACTGAGCCACCCAGGCGCCCCCACCTCAAATGCATTTAAAGCACGTTTCATTTCATCAGAACGTGTATATACTTTATCAATTTTGAGAGGCATATTGTTGTACATTTTAATACCCCTGAAATTGGGACGCATCTCAAAATGGATTGTAACTTAGATGCCATAATATGGTAGCTACTCGATTTGGGATAGCGTATTAAGGTTTGTAAATTCATCAACACATGACATAGAATACATATGAATTTGGATACCCGAAGGCAAAACTGTTTAACAAATCATTCATAATTTGTGACCCTAAATAAAATGAGAAGTTATTAGACAAGACGTAGGAGAAAGTATATGAAGACTATACATAGTGCGTTAGTCTCTCAAAGATGTTTGTGATTCGGAATCAAATATTTAATTTTCATTCAGGTTGTAGCATAGCAGCATTTAAACAATTACCAGCTGACATGGAAAGCAATACACATCTAAATGTTGTTAACTTGCTAGGCCATCTTTATTTTTTTAAGATTATTTATTTATTTGAGAGAGAGAGAGTACACACACGAGTTGGGGGGAGGGGGAGAGGGAGAGGGAGAAGCAGACTCCCTGCTGAGCAGGGAGCCCGATGGGCTCGATCCCAAGACCCTGGGATCATGACCTGAGCTGAAGGCAGATGTTCAACCGACTGAGCCACCCAGGCACTCCTAGGCTGTCTTTAAATACATTCTCTACCTGTTCCGAATCATCAAGTGGAATTTACAAAAGTTTGAAGCCCCCACCCTGCCCCGGTGACTTCACTTTAGCTATAACAAAATGAAATCCAACCCGGTGAGGATTGACATCTCATTTATTTCTAGCCCTCATTACCAACCCATCCTTGATACTGAGGGAGCAGAAATTCTATTACCAGGTAGAGAAGCTACTCGGGGAAATTCGGGAGGCCTTTGGAGGGCCAGAGCCAAAGCAAAACTGCTGTCCCCAAACACAAAACCATAGGTGTGGTCCCATGGCAGTTGGAGGGCACAGTGGACCCAGACACACCATTGTTTGTTGTAAGGTACTGAGCAGTTGGGAATGGACATAGCCAGAGGAGAGAGAGCTTGTTCCAGGAGTAATACAATTCACACTATTGCTGTCTATATGCCTGGCCTTAAATGAATCACTTAAGCTCTCTGAGCCTCAGTTTCCACATCTGTAAAATAGAGCATTGGGTCATTCCTTGAAACCTCCATCCCATTTACTTTTACCTCACCTGGGGCCGTGCCATCTTCTGCCTCGTGTCCTATTTTATGTATGGTGACAATAATCCGCCCCAATAGACCATAACCACTTGAGCAGCACATGATTCTCTTGCCTTCGTGCATCCCCAAATGCAGCAGTTGGAATGATGCCTTGGATAAGGCGGCCTCTCAGTAGAGATGTGTTGCCTTGAATTGAATCGAACTAGAAGACAGCTAAGATTCCCCTCTCTGATAATCTCTGATGCTGTCTTTAAAGGAGGAGGGACTCCCCGGGGCTGAATGACTTCTAGCTGGGTGGGCTGCAATGTTGTGAAGTCAGTAAGCAAAGTTTGGAAGCATGGGGAGGAGTTGCCGTAGCTAATGAATTACCCCAGAAGCCGCCTTGCACGGCCAGGTTTAGCTGTGTGCGTAGGAGTTCTCCAACCATCTTCTGAACTCAGCAGGAGAGAAGGGGCAGGATGAATGGAGGGAAGAGAAATACATCTGGGTGAACAAACCCTTCGAAAATGAGTAGCACCTAGAGCTCCGGGCATGTCAGATGCTGGGTGTTGCGCCACCAGTTGACAAGATATTTCTTGATGATGCTGAAAATCTGGTTATATTTTCAGATATGGAACCTCCTAGAATCAAGTGCCCAAGTGTGAAGGAACGCATCGCTGAACCCAATAAACTGACAGTCCGTGTGTCCTGGGAGACCCCGGAGGGAAGAGACACAGCAGATGGCATCTTAACTGAGTAAGTACAGCTTGGCAGTGTGGAGGATGTCGCTTCTTTTATGAGAGACATTTAACTAGCCAGAGTGGGGAAGTGTATCTGTACGGGTCCATTTATGCCTTCAGAGTCAGTATGGTGCTCCTTCAACAGTTCCGCATTCAGGCTTTAGTTTTCTCCATCGTCACCTTCAGCCCCTGACCTACTGTGTGTTTCACTTCTGTCCTTGTGTCTTGCCTGTCTCCACTATAGCACATTTACTGCCAGACCCCGAATGCCCAGAACCATGCCGAGCACAGAGTTGCGACTCGGTAAATATTTGTCAAAGGAAAGAAGGGAAGAAGAGGGACGGGGGGAGGCCGAGGACATCAACTGGTTCACTCTGCCGTAGAATCCCCCCCATTGCTTGCCCAGGGGGCTCCTACTGTAGCCCCTAGGCCTTACTAAGCCATCACCTACCTCCCTGCGAAGCCCCTGTGTCTCTGTGGTTTAGGGCAGAACTTTCCATCCCTTGTTTTTTTGGCAACCGCTTCTTTTAAAACTTGATTTTTAGTGTTTTTTTTTTTTTTAAACTTGTGACTACATTAGGGCCGCCTGGGTGGCACAGTCGGTTAAGTGTTTGACTCTTGGTTTTGGCTCAGGTTTTGATCTCAGGGTCGTGGGATCGAGCCCACGTGCTCCGTGCTCAGTGCAGAGTCTGCTAGAGGCTCGCTCTCCCACCACTTCTCCCCCTGCTCTCTCTCCAAAGTAAATAAATAAATCTTTAAACTTGTGACTACATTAAACACTTACAGAAGCAGCTTATTAAAAAAAAGAAAAGGGTTCTTCTGCCTTCTTCCCTACCCAGCCCCATTCCCCAGGACCAGCTGTGTGAGTAGTTTGACATACATCTGGAATGCTTTTTAAAATGGCGTGATTCCCTTTGGGAAAGTTCTGCTATGTGTTGTTCTAATCTAGCACCTGGGCCCGTACCCCTGCAGCGATCTGCTTGGCCTTCATGTTCCCTAGAGGCCACTGTTTCATGTCAGCATGTTCACATCTGTGCCTTCAAGTTCATGGCCCTGTCAGACCAACCCACTCGAGTGTGCACCTGCGGACAAAGGATACCTCTGACTTGCCGCCTCTGAGCTACACAGCAGGGAAACCCTAGTTAGAATCCCGTCGACCCAGGCTGGGCAAGAGGAAATATTTTAAGCAATTATGGGCAATAAGAGAACATCTTCTACTAGGAAGATGTTGAGTCTTTCACCCCGAGCAAGACATTTTGTTCCTACATCCTGATCATTTCTCGCAGTATGCCAGTTCGCTTAAATAATATTACTAGCTGTGTGCCTCCTTGTAACTCCTTAAAGGTAAAGTTTTAAGTATTAAGAAAATTATATATTTGCTGTCATATCCACGTGTCACAAACCCCTAAGGAGAAATTTTAGGCAGTTGGGATTAAAAAGTAAGTCACAGTTGATATAAACAGGGATTGGGTTTTATTTATCTTGGAACTTTGGGGCCTAGCACGATGCCTGACCCAGTCCCAATTGCTCGTGAAATCCTGTATAATAAACACAGGGTATCAGGTCACCAGATGACTGTGTTTGTCTAGCGAGGATATAGACCTTGGCATTTTTGTGGGTCACCTGTGTGTTATGGTTAGAAACATGACCGTTTCAAAGAGCACCTTAGTAGCCTCCAGCCTTCCGTTCCAAGCAGCTGTCTGCTTCTAGACTTCTACAGCCCGAACCAGCAGAGGCTTGGAGCAGGATGCTGCGGGGAGCACTCTCCAGACAGAATGAGGAATTCCAAGAAGGCTGTCTCGTCGCCTTTTCAGCTCTCACTTGGGCTCCTTGCTTCTCCGGCATGTCTCTCGTACAAGCTACTGTTCTATGGTCCCCTTCTGAGAGGGAAGGTTCTAGAGAGCAAGTGCTTCTCCGAGGCAAGTGCTTTCTGGGAGCTCCCTTAGTTACTCCTGATGACTGTTATTTGCAGGTCACAGATGAAACAGAGTCTCCAAGAGGTCAGCAGCCACTCATATTTGAAGCCTGATTCCTCTCAGGGTTATCTGCATTTGAATTGTGCCTCAGTTGATACCTTATAAACACACACCCTGTCCACCTCTGTGGAAGGCTCTCTTCAGTGGTCACAGTGATAATTTCACACACTCATTCTTAGCAAATATTCTCATCATTGCTAAGAACTGTAGAGAGAAGGCAAATTAAGTATCTGTTGGAAAACCAACCTACCAACCTGGCATTCGATCATGCCGTACCTTATTGGTGTTCTCATCAGACAGCCAAGAGGAAAGATGCTAGAGTCACCCTAGCCTTGTCATCTTAGGCAAGTTCCCTAACCTTTTGGTGCCTCAGTTTCTTCATCTGTGAAATAGAAATAATTCCTATCTCATGGGGTTTTGGGGAGGATTAAATAAACCAGTATGTGTAAAATACCTAGAACCGTGCCTAAAATATGTATATAACATTTATATACGTGCAAAGAACTAGTATTATTATTATTATTATTATTACTACTACTACCACTACAACATTAGGATAATCAAGGAATCACAATAAACTTGCTCAGGAAAGATCTCTACACTGGGCCAGATAGAAAAAAAAAAAAACAGAGACAATTCTAGCACCCCCTGTAGGCCCAAATTGCCAATGACTGCTTGGACTATACTCCGAAATGGTTTTCCTCACAGAAAATTCGCTCATCCTCCCCAAAATGAGGCAGTTTAAGGTTCCCTGTGAAACAAAGGTGGGATGGGAAGAAGACTTGGGGCCCTGGGTTCTCAGCCTCCCCCATCCTCTGTTCTACCCTCCAGTGAGAAAAACTGATCCAAACTTCCCAGGAATTGGGGACTTCCATGTTCTGGTCTCAAACTGCTCTTCCAAAGCAGAATAAAGCTCAGGAAATGCTGTTCTTGAAGAAATCTTTGTTCTAGTCAAACTGGCCTAATGGCTGCCCCTCAGTATCTCCACATCCAGTGCAGAGTGCCCATAATGACCGTCTTTGATCATTAGGCCCACAATGACCTAATTGTTGTTAGGCCTTTAATGATCATCTTTGGTGTTCCTGTTTTTTTCTCCCCCCTTGAAGTGTTATTCTAAAAGGCCTCCCCCCAGGCTCGAATTTTCCAGAAGGAGACCACAAGATCCAGTACACAGTCTATGACAGAGCTGAGAACAAGGGCATTTGCAAATTTCGAGTTAAAGTACGAGGTAAGAATACTGCTTATTGGCTTTTTCCTCTCTTTACAAGAGCAAAGGGAAGTCGGCCCTCAAGCAGGAACCCTTTGTGAGTGCCCACTGCCATGGGGATACTTGCCAGCTTTGGATTAGCCTCTGATGATGAGCCGAGGGAAAGGGTGCCATCTTAACACCTGAATTTCACAATACAAATCCGGATGAGGTTCAGTGCTGGCAGATTATTTAAGAGGCCTGAGAGAGCAGTAAGCTAGTCTCACATGAGCCCACAGCTGGCTCTCCCAGAGGAATATGATTTTGATAACATTTTCATCCCTGGGCTTGGGTGACCAGCTAAAGCCTGTAAGTCCTTCTATAAAGGAGGTGAAGAGCCCCCTAGCTTGGGCCACCAGGAGCCCATGTTGTCGGTGTTCCAGAACCTTTATTCTCCCTGAAAAAAATACCTTGAAGATTTATCTTATGCCTCATGGTTTGGGCAGCTAATGACTAACCCTCTTTATTCTTTATTCTTCTGGGCTCAACCTCCTCATCTGTAACTCGGGGGACTAAACCGCTTGATCTCAGTGGTCTCATTGGTATGAACGGTGACCATTCCAAGGCCCACCCACTGGCCAGAGAGTCCTCCCCGCCCCCTCACTCATCCACAGGCGTGACTGCCAAGCTGCTGCCTTCCCTGGTTACTCTGTGGAGGGGAGCTCAGCACTGAGCCTCCTCTGGCCTTGTGTCCCCACAGTCCGACGCTGTGGCAAACTCAACGCCCCGGAAAATGGTTACATGAAGTGCTCCAGTGACGGTGATAATTACGGGGCCACCTGTGAGTTCTCCTGCATCGGTGGCTATGAGCTACAGGGCAGCCCTGCCCGAGTCTGTCAGTCCAACCTGGCTTGGTCTGGCACGGAGCCGTCCTGCGCAGGTATGAGTGCAGCCCTCTCTCCAGCCAGCAGCAGAACCTGAAGACCCCTGGGTTCTGGATTCCAGTAGAGGGAGGGAGGATTTCACTCTATACACTTTGAGAGGTTCAGTGTCATCCCTCTTCACCTGACGGGTGCCAATGGTCCTCGAATTTCTAGGGCAGCTCATCTCATCCACCCTCCTCCTTGGCCTCTGCCCAGCTTTGCATTTCTCTTTCATGTCCTCTAAGGAAGAAGCTGGAGGTGGGAACCCAGGGCCTGCGATTCGCGACTTTGTGAATCAGCAGACTCTGCTTTAGGTACCCTTGTTCTTCCCCTCTACAAATGAAAGGGTCTTTTTTTTTTTTGCAATGCCAGGGCACTGCTGCGTATGGACAATATAATGCGTGCTTTGCAGCCCTGGCTTGAAAGTCACACAGACATTCGGGATTTTTCCTCCTAATGTCAAATGAGGAAGATAATACCTTACCTACTACTTGAGTTGTTGTAAGGATTAAATGAGGTTACATCCAGTGAACAGTGGGATAGAGCAGTGCCTGGCCCAGGGCAGGTGCTCAATGCACATCAACTCTTATTACCAAGGTACACAAATTGGGCTGAGTGTAGTGATAATGGTGTGAAATTTGGACTAGTCAGAAAATTCTGGTCATATCTTTTATTTATATACTCCACTTTTCCCCCCTCTTTTCGGGGTACTTTCTCATCTTTATGCTTTCTCTTTAACCCCAGCCTTTCAGAGTTGACCAAGAGAGAGAGAGACACACACACTCGTGTAGACCATCAGCTAAATGCCCATGGTTCTTCACTTTCATACATTAAAGTAGAAAGAACATACCTCTTTCCTTCCCTGTCCCTCTTCCTGAGGCAGGGAAAGTAATGCCCACCCCCCAAAGATGTTCACATCCTAATCCCTAGAACCCATGAATAAATTACCTGACATGGCAAAAGGGACTTTGCAGAGGTAATTAAGTTAAGGATTTTGAGATGTGGAGGGTAGCTTGGATTCTCCAGGTGGGCCCAGTGTAATCACAAGGGTCCTTATAAGAGGGAGGCAGAGGGAAGAGAGAGGTGAAGATGTCACGCTGCTGACTTTCAAGATGCAAGAAAGGCCACACACCAGTAGATGAAGGTGACCTCTAGATGCTGGAAAAGGTAAGGAAACAGATTCTTCCCTCGGGCCTCGGTGGGGGGAGCAACGTTTTGACTTCAGCCCAGTGAAACCCATTTGAAACTTCTGACTGCCAGAGGTATAGGAGAATTTGTGCATGTTAAGCCCCTAAATTTTGGTGATCTGTGATAGCAAGAGAAAACCAATACACTGCCCTATTCCCCAACCCAGTGCTTCTTGGGACCATCTCCCGAATAAACCACTTACAACTGGGGCACCTGGGTGGCTCAGTCGGTTCAGTGGCCTGGTATTGATTTCGGCTCAGGTCATGATCTCAGGGTCGTGGGATCAAGCCCCGCCTTGGGCTCTGTGCTCAGCGCGGAGTCTGCCTGAGATTTTCTCTCTCTCTCTCTCCCCACCTTTCCCTCTGCCTCTCCCCGCACTCGCACGAGCGTGTGCTCGCTCTCAAAATCTTAAAAAAAACAAACAAACAAACAAAAAACACAACACTTACAACTGAAACTTTGTCTCGGGGTTTACTTCTTCCGTGTTCGCGTATGGTCTGCGTGTCCTCCCAGGCTATGTTGAGCCAGAACCAGTAGAGGGTTTCTCACCCATCTGGCCCTTTCTAATTCCAGCCATGAATGTCAATGTGGGCGTCAGAACAGCAGCTGCACTTCTGGATCAGTTTTATGAGAAAAGGAGACTCCTCATTGTGTCCACCCCCACAGCCCGGAACCTTCTCTACAGGCTGCAGTTGGGAATGCTGCAGGTGAGTCCTTCCAGCCTGGCCCAGGTTGTGGGGAGAGCTCTAACACGAAGGGCCCGGTGATTTCATTAAAGGCGAAGGCCACATTCAGTGCCTCATCTGTTTTCTGGAAACTCTGGGAACTGGCACGTTAGAGATACTACTGTTCATCTCTGGCCTTGGGGCATAACCTGATTAACATCGACTCCCCAGAGCTAACCCAATTGTTTTCCAACTAATAGGGTTTCTTTGTCTTTACCAGTAAGCCCAATGGACCTGCTGCCCAGGTCCAGCCAAAGAATAGTTGTCTTTGTTGGACCTGTCCAGGATATGCCTATGCTGGAGGCCCTCATTCCGTTGTTTGCCCAAGAGGCTGGCTCAAGGGATGAGGGGAGTCCAGGAGCCTTCAGGCCCCAGATCCTGCCCCAGGGATCTTCCCCCGCCTCCCTAGAGCTCCTCCAAGAGTGATGGCTGTCTTTAGGAACAGTGGTTTTCAAAGTGTGGTCTGTGGACCAGCAGCATCAGCATCACCTGGGAGCTTGTTAGAAATGCAAATTCTCCCCCATCCTAGACCTACGGGGGGTCTAATCTACGTTTTAACAAGACCTTCAGGTGATTCCCGAGCAACTGAACGTTTGAGGCACACTTTCCTAGGAAATGTGCCATTCTCAGCTATGTAAACTTTATAGCTACAAAATGAGGCAGCCGGAGTCTTCTGGGGAAAAAAAATTAGAAAAGGATCAAACTAGAACTTGCTAGATTTTGTCCAGAAGCTGGCTTGCAGTAAGAGTGGCCAACCATGACTGAATGCGCAAGAGGTAGAATGTTATGCCGGGTCATGGACACGGTGCTGTACACTTTTTTGAAAAGACCTTTCTTCTACTACAGTGAATAAAAATAAGACTAAGTGTTCAAAACAATCTTGGTTGAGGGGAGCCTGGGTGGCTCAGTCGGTTGAGCGTCTGACTCTTGATTTCAGCTCCGGTCATGATCTCAGGGTCGTGAGATCGAGCCCCGCGTTGAACCCTGAGTCGGGCTCAGTGCACAATCTGCTTGGGATTCTCTTCCTCTTCTTCTGCCCCTTCCCCTGCTCATGCAGTCTCTCTCTCTCAATAAAATCTTTAAAAAATAAAACCATCTTGGTTTAATAAAGTTTACAATTTTACTTCTCATTTCAGCATTTATACAATGAATAATGAGGAGTCTTTCTTCCTTCTCCCCGTATACCGGAAAGGCTCCCATAAACTCGGAAAACCCATGCAAAGTGTTGTAGACTCCTTTGATGGGAACTCCGTTCATTACATCTTTACTCCCAATCCCTGCCACCTTCCTTGCCTCCCTCCATCTTTGTATCCCCTTGTCCCAGCTGAGACTTGTTCTTCAGGTGTCGCAAGGCTGTATGACTCCACTGTGTGGGAAATTGGCCTCCCACTTGCTGATAATTTTCTTTTCTTAATTTTGTAGAAAAACGAATAAGCCAGGCAACTTGCTTTTCCTCTGTTGGTAAACCACAGCTTTTGTAAGTGAAATTTGATTGGAACGCGGCCTTACTCATTCATTTGCATGCAGTCCCTGGCTGCTTTGCCCTCCAGTGGTACAGTTGAATAGTTAGGACAGAGACCATCCAGCTCCGGAAAGCCTAAAATATTTACTACCTGGCCCCTTACCAAAAAATGTTTGCTGTCCTCTGCCCTAGTCTATCCCATCCTTTCGGGTACTTGCTAAATTACTAATTAAATCATGGTGATTTGGGCAGGCAGGGTCTAAGGACTCAGAGCGGAGTCCCTGAGGACCAGCCAAGAGGGTCCCTGTCTGCACACAGGATAGAAATCAGACACAAGCCAGCAGGAGGTGAAAGTGGAGTTGATCAAAGGTATAGAGAGAGAATGCAGGTAGAGAGTGTCTGGGGAAACAGAGAGTGTCCCACCTTTGTTCAGGGTCTGGGGCTTTTGCTGAGGATCGTGGTCAGGTGTACATGTCCTCTCAGGCATCCAGGAACCGGTTAGAACAAAGACAAGGACCCACATGTTAGTCCTTGGAGCCAGGGGGCCTTGGTGTGGAGAGGCCTAGTGTCGCTGGTCTGGAATGTGCATATGATGGCTTCCTCTGGTCATTCTGACCTGGTCCGTCCTTAGATGTCGTCTGTTTGAAAGAAGTCATTAACTCCTTGTCCCTTACCAGGAGGACCTACACTGTTTGCATTATAAGGCCTGTGTAAAGTGGGGATGCAAAAGTAGAATCAGGAAAAGGAGCAAAAAGCAGATTTTTATGGACTCCTTCGGTTTGCCTATCTCAGTTGGAGAAGATATTTGGTATCCAGGTGTTTATATGTGACCCCCCCCACAACATATTTACATTGGCATTTTAACCAGAGCCTTCGAGGAAAGATTTGATTGACATAGGTGATTCAGTTAGAATAATAAAAATACGTATTTCTATCCTTACCAATTCCATCACGTTATGGAGGGATGCTTCAGTGGAACTGTAGTATAATACTTGGTGTTATAGTAACTCAGGAGTTTAAATTTTCTTTCCTCATTTAGCCAGATTCATCTTGTTACTTTCCTATTAACCAATTACCATTGCTGTTCCTGATGTGACGACCTGGCATCTGGTTGAGGGGACCACATTCCCAAGACTCTTGCCAAGGGCTGACTCACAGGGCTGGAATTTTCTTTTTTCTCTTTTTAAATTGAGGTATCATTGGGGCGCCTGGGTGGCTCAGTTAGTTAGGCGTCTGACTCTTGGTTTCGGCTCAGGTCATGATCTCAGGGTTCTGAGATCGAGCCCCACATTGGGCTTCACACAGCACAGAGTCTGTTTGAGATTCTCTTCCTCTCTGTCTGCTCCTCCCTTGCTCACTCTCTCTAAAATAAATCTTTAAAATAAAAAAATAAATTGAGGTATCATTAACCTGTAACATTAGTTTTTGTTGTACAACATCATGAGTCAATATTTATATTACAAAATGATCATCACAATATTCCAGTTAACATCTCTGTCACCAAACCTAGATACAAATATTTTATGAGAACCTTCAAGATCCACTCTCCTAGCTACATTCAAATAGACAATACAATATCATTAACTATAGTCACCATGCTGTACATTACATGCTCAGGACTTTTTATTTTATAACTTGAAGCTTCTACCTTTTGGCCCCCTTCACCCACTTTGCCCATCTTCCCACCCCTGCCTCATGAAAACACCAGTCTGTTTGCTATATCCATGAGATCACTTTTTGTTTTTTGTCATCTTTTTTTAGTTTTTGTAGACTCCACATATAAGTAAGAGCATATGATACTTGTTTTTCTGTCTGATTTATTTTACTAAGCATAATGAGCTCAAGGACCATCCATGCTGGTTGAAATGGGAAGATCTCAGTCTTTTCTATGACTCAGTAATATTCCATTGTGTACATATACCACATTTTCTTTATCCATTCATCCATCGATGGGAAATTAGGCTGTTTCCAGGTCTTGGCTATTGTAAATAATGCTGCAGTGAACATGGAGGTGCAGATCTATCTTTTGATAGTGTTTTGTTTTCTTCAGATAAATACACAGAAGTGGAATTGATGGATCAGATGGTAGTTCTAGTCTTAGCTTTTTGAGGAACCTCGATACTGTTTTCCACAGCAGGCGTACCACATTCCCACCAACAGTGCACAAGGGTTCCCTTTCCTCCACATACTCGCCAGCACTTGTTATTTCTTGTGTTATTGATTTTTGCCATTCTGATAGGTGTGAGGTGATATCTCATTTGTGGTTTTGATTTGCATTTCTCTGAAGATGAGTGATGTTGAGCATCTCTTCATGTACCTGTTGGCCCCCTGGATGTCTTCCTTGGAAAAACATCTGTTCATGTCTTCTGCCCATTTTTTAATTGGATTGTTTCTTGTTCTGCTGTTGAGTTGTATGAGCTCTTTATATATTTTTGGTATTAACCCCAATCAGTTAAATGATTTGTAAATATTTTATCTCCCTCAGTAGGTTACATGTTGATTTTGTTGATGGATTCTTTTGCTGTGCAGAGCTTTTTAGTTTGATGTACTCTCACTTTGTTTTTGTTTCCTTTTTAAAAATTTTAATTGTAGTATAATTAATATATGGTGTTGTATTAGTTTTAGGTGTACAATATAGTGATGTAACAATTATATACATTACTCAGTGCTCATCCAGGTAAGTGTATCCTTTAATCCCCATCAACTATTTCACCCGTTCCCCCCCCCCGCCCCACCTCTCCACAGGTAACCATCAGTTCTCTATAGTTAAGAGTCTGTTTCTTGGTTTGTCTCTTTTTTTTCTTTGCTTTGGTTCTTAAATTCCACATATAAGTGAAATCATATGGTATTTGTCACTCTCTGACTTATTTCACCTAGAGGATTATACCCACTAGATCCATCCATGTTGTTGCAAATGGCAAAATTTTATTCTTTTTTATGGCTGATATTCCTGTGTGTGTGTGTGTGTGTGTAATCTATCTACCACATCTTCATTTTGCATTCATGTATTGATGGACACTTGGTTTGCTTCCAGAGTTTGGCCATCATATATAATGCTTCAATAAACACAGGGGTGCATATATCCTTTTGAATTAGTGTTTTCATATTCCTTGGGTAAATACCCAGTAGTGGAATTACTGGATTGTATGGTAATTCTATTTTTAATTTTTCGAGAAAATACTGCTTTCCACAGTGGCTGCACCAGTTTGCATCACCACCAACAGTGCAAAAGGGTTCCTTTTTCTCCACATCCTTGCCAGAACTTTCTCTTTTTTTGTTTTTGATTTTAGCCATTCTGACAGGTATAAGGTGATAGCTCATTGTGGTTTTAATCTGCATTTCCCAGATGAGTGATGTTGAGCATCTTTTCATGTGTCTCTTGGCCATCTGTATGTCTTCTTTGGAAAAATTGCGTTCATCTCTTTTGCCCATTTTTTAATTGGATTATTTGTTTTTTTGGGTGTTGAATTCTAGAAGTTCTTTACATATTTTGGCTACTAATCCTGTATTGGCTATGTCA